TGTCCAAAACAGAAATAGTGAGGCGATCCTTCAGCGCGTGTCCAGCCGGGGTTAAGACCATTGTTTGAAATGTGTTCCCTTCTACGAATAGCCGTCCTCTTTTTGGTTTTCAAAAACACACATTAAACGATAAGAAGAACAGACAAAGACAGAGAGTGCCTGGGTTTGGTGGTTAAGGCAGAGGCAGCAGACCAAACAAGAACTGCAGAGCCAACAGTGAAAACAAGGGGCAGCGTAGTGGGTTTACATGAGGAGGGATGAGAGTCAGCGAGAAAGTTCCATTTTGGGAAAGTTATTAAAAAACAGTGCCAAAAGTACATATAACATTGAGTAGTGGAATTATTATTACTATTATTTAAATTACTGTTGTACTTTTAGCTCAGTTGTTTCCAAGTGTGACTTCTTCTTCACAACATTTTTTAACTGGATTAAAAAGGACAAATGTAACATTTGTGAATAAGGACCACATATTAAAGGCTTGCCATTTTCAATGCTGAAATCCACTGGGTTTAAACCTAAAAGGGCTCTCTGATCTGGATGGTCACTACCTAAACCTAACCCTGCAGCCAATAATCAGTGCTATTGCAGCCTCAGCAGCTCAGTGAGTGATTTCTGGAGATTCTAAGCTTTCACATGAGGCATGGTCTGTACATATACTGAGAATGAGAAAACCCGCATGTGTCCTCTATGTGCAGGTCAACCCAGCTCCTGTTGTGATTCTAGTACCTTTTTTTAAAGCTGCAAGAGCCCACACTACATACAATTCTTAACTTAACAGTGAAGGTGCTTAATTATATCTGTTAACATTCAGTTATGAACTATCTTCTCCCCATTTAACTAGTTTTCATTAGCATTATTTGCAGCTGATGCTTTTGTACATTCACTCTAATCTTAAAAGCAATAATTAGCATAACAGCTACCACTTACCAACTAATATGTGGTCCCTAAACTAGGCTGAAGTGTTTATGTTTTAACCTTTTTATTACTTACTTTCTACATAGTTTGACTTGGGATTCTGATAAAATATGTATTATTATTTTTAAATAAATTGGGTTTTAGAAATTCATAAGCAGATGTTTTCCGCTCCTCAGTAAGGTCCCAGAATGTCACTTTAGATACTCTTGATATTCTCAGCCCTCAGTGTTTATAGTTTATACTATGAGGAGGCACTAGAGGGGTGCAATACTTTGCTCTGAAAAGGAGGGGGCGGTAACACAGATGTAGAGGGCATAAATGGGAGATTACAGTTCTATGTATTCTTCTTATGAGGAACTAAGAAGAGAACAAGAGAAGGCATTGATGAGGAGACAGGTTATTGGGTAGGACACATAGGACATAGACTACTGTCAATGGGTAAGACACTGGGCGGAGGGGTAGGAGATAGGAGAGGAGGCAGGCGGGAGGAGGGCAGGTGTGGGCTGTAAGCGGAGCAAAACGTGGCAGATTTCAGTCTTCTTTTAAATTCAGGATGTTTTTAAAGTGGCACTAAACACTAAATCCACTTTGTTTCGTTACTGGGTATATGGTGTTTTAATATTTCAACTGCTCCTAGTTTTGGCAACTTAGGTGCAAACTAGGTACATTTGCAGCTTTCTGGTCCAAAAAGTCTAAATCCAAATATTGATGCCTTCAGGAACTTCCACAGTTACTAAGTACTAGATGATATCACGAAAAACTGTACCTCTAGACCACGACCCTCCTCCTCTCTCACTCTCTTCAGTCCTCCAGGTACTGCCCAGTGAAAGAGCTCTAGTTGAAATGTGGTTGTGGGTGGAGTTTATGTGTTTAGTTCCACTTTAAAATGTGCATTAGTTACAAAATTTGGGTTTTAAAACATAATTACAAATCTAATGTCACCCATAAATAGGACGAGCACCTGACCCTCTTTTGGTTATCTCACTCACCCACTGTCAGAACCAACATATTTAGAGAATGCTTCACTTATCAGTTAATGCCACATAATTTTAAAAAGTGAGATTTCCATAGAAAACATTATCTTTTTTCTCAAAGAAACCAAGACTTTTTGGGTGGACTGTCTTTCAGGGTCGTAATCTATTCAAATCTCATTCAGTGCCATACAGTTGATAAAACTGAAAACCATATAGTGTTATTGCAGTTATTATCTTAAAGTGCATATGTCAGGTTAGTTAGATTACCAACTACTTCTACTAACTACCATTTCCGTGTTGATGACATAAGTAGATATATTCCATATTTGTGCCACATAACTGATGTAAAATCATGATAAATATTTACCACAGATACTATCCTACCAAACCATGTCATTATTAGAAAAACATGAAAACCTGTCATATGCACTTTAAGTTCGTCTCTCCATCACATTCAGTAACCCTCTTTTTCTACAACTTGAGGTGATCACCCTACTCATAAATAATTATAAATCTAGAAATGTTTCCATAATTGTTCATATGTGATTCATACAATACGTAATTCATTTCATACCTAGTTTTGCTCCTGTAATAATTAACCCACAGCCAGGGCAATACCAGAGGAGACCAGTGAGGGGCGATGGTGAGAATGCACAGAGAAAGCAAAAAGCTTTGACTTTGACCTGAGATCGAACTGCACCTAGAGGGGCTATGCTAGGCGCTAACGCTAACAAGTACAAAATTTAAAAAAGGGTGCCGAAAGTACACGCTTGCACTTTGAGCTAAGGTGTCCATTCCAAATAATAATTATAATATTAACATTAAAAATAATATCAGACATCCACAAGACATGTAAAGGAACTTTTCATCACAAAACGAAAGGCTTTGACATAATTTTGGGGCAACAGAAAAAAAAAAAAAAATTCAATATTTTCTATAAACAGGTATAAGAAAATGAACTAGTGGAGACTGATAGCAAACCTGAAGAGTTTCTTTGTAACATCCAAAAAGAGTAAAAAAATCATAAAATAGCAGCTTTGTTCTGTACAGACATAGAGGCAAACATTTTCTGAAAAAGTTTACAAAAGTGACCAACCAAATGATGTGTATAAAAAGCGCCACGCAGTCTAAACCTGCACAGGCGTATAGAATAGAATAAATCACGTGAAATGTACTAGAGAGGCCTTTCCAAACAGAGCCGCCATATTGGAAAGGTAACATGTCTTTCCTTCTGGGTTGGAACAGTGGTCTATTTGGTTCAGGCTAGTCTTCATCAGCACAAAGATGGAGGGTGGGCTAAAAACAGAGGTGATGTGTCCCTTGATTGTAATATTCAGTCATTTGTAGATAAATGTAGACAGAATAAAGGCTGTGATGCAGAGATGATTAGATAGAGCTAATAGGGCTAATATTCTGAAGAGGGGCAGACACGAGAGTTGGGGAAACGTCTGGGGAGAGGGAGGTACAGGTCACTATGCATAATTGTTATTTTTAGCTAAAAAATGTTTGCAATGGGTTGAAACATGGATGGGTCTAGGCATGAACTGCTGAAAAATATTATTGCAAGATTTTTTTTTGTCTCTTTTGACAAATGGTAAATGAAGGTCTTTAGTCGATTAATCGGTTAATGGTGTCTTAGTCAATCAAAGTTTGTATTAGTCGACTAAGATAAGCATTTATATGGGATAACAGTGAGAGAGTTAGCTGAAGATTTGGTATTCTTTGGTATTTATATGTAAAAAGGCAGATTCATCTCATAATTCACAAGTATAATCTGTCTTTATATAAATACATTGTTTCCTAGTACTTTTTTGCATAAATAGTAATTTCTGCTTGAACTCCCATGCAGGTGTAGTCTTGTGAGTGCAGTTTGGGTCAGATGCATAGATACGGAATAGTTTTGAGAGCTTCAGCCACAATTACCTGCAGTAAAAGGCCTCACCTGCTGAAAGGAGGTTAGTTATTTTTAATCAATTGTGTTCCAATATTAAGGGCACTGGGTATATGAAATTCTAATATAAATTTAATTCTCAAAAAAATAAAAATAAAAATCTGTATATTAAATCTGAGTATTAGAGGATCAGAGTATATTTCGTATTGTGGACACTGGCCTGTATCTGGATATTGTATCATAAAGTTCTCAGCAATATCCAATCATTTGTACCATTCTGTTAAAATTCAACCAACCTGCGATCTATCTGTTATTGCGTAATACCTCACAATTGTATTATCTAGCATTGTTTCAGTTCAAATCCATCTCATCTCTGAATCACAGCCTTGAAGCGCCATTTAAATCTGTACAAAGGAATTAGCAAAAAAAAAAAAAAAAATCAAACATTTTAAAAACAGATTTGGCAACAGTTTGGCAGATGCAGACTCTCTCATTGACCAATAGAAAGGCTTAGTTTGAGGCAACTTTTCAGCTCGTACAACAGTCACGACCTATTGGAAAGTCAGAGCCGCGCCAGTCAGGAAAGTGCTCTTCTGTTAGGGTGCACTGGCGGATATGTGTCTGTAGGGGGGACTGGCAGATATGTGTTTTGTAAAAAGATTTCAGTTTCTTTCATAAAGTCTCAGAACGGGCTGCACAAGGAGTCCCCAGTGTCAAGTGTGAAATCAAAACAACACGGAGGAGTGGAAATCAGCCCGCCTGATGCGTACCGCCAGCTTTGGAGATGAGGCTCTGGATACCCTGTATGAGTTTTTGTTTCCAAGATGCGCCTAAGACACTGCAAATATCTATATCTATATGAATTCAAATAGCAAAATTCAGAAGCTTGATTTGAGAAGTTTAGACTAGTTTAGATTTAAAATATTTGAAAGTAAAATACAAGAGTTTTGTGTTTTTAATATAAACTACAAAATAATACCCCAAACAAACCAGAAATTTAGGAATTTAGAACTAAGTGCAACCAAATCAAATTCAGCATCAGAAATTTCAGAGGAAAAAAAAAAAGGATTATAAAAAATATATAATTACTATGAAAATTGGCTATATTTTTCAGAAATCTTTTAAAACCAACTAAATAATCTAAAATTGAACTTGTAAAAATTACTCAAATCAAATTCGTGAATTCATTTGAACCCATACAGATATCCGTTGCCGTGACATCAGCATGCGGAGGACTGGGGCAGGGGCAGCGTGCGTTCGTTCTTGCGGCCTCCGTTCATGTGCGCATATGGCTGCAGCTCATCAAAGTTCGGCCGCAGTACCACCACCGGCCCATTGGCGGAGAGCTGTCCCGACTGTTTGTCCGGGGACGCGGCTGGGCTCTGGGGGGTGGCGGAGGAGGGCGTTGGGGGGGTCCCGGCTCCTAACAGTGGGGTGCTGGGGCTCTGCTGTCCCGTGGAGGGAGTGGAGCAGGGTGTGGGTGGGTGCTGGTGGGTGGAGGAGGGGTCCAGGGGGATGTTCTCCATGGTCTCCACGTCCATGTGCTCCAGCTCCTCGGTGTCGGGGGGCTTGTTATCCTCGCTGTAGAAGAAGCTCACGTCCCTGAAAGGGGGCTCCATCTCCTCCTTGATGCTGCTGATGATCTCCAGGAAGGACGGGCGCATTTTGGGGTTGTACTGCCAGCACATGCGCATCAGCTCGAATCTGGGACATAGGCAAAAACAGCATGTTAAATTAAAGGCACTGTATCTGATTTTCACTGTATTAAAAAACTTGAAAAACAGAACTAGTTTTAAACAGTCCTTAATTACCAATTACCAAACTTAAGGATTCTGAGGTTCCTAATTATTCACTGCAATGAAATTATAAGCACTTTTAACAATTCAAAATTACAATAAAGTCAGATGTCACAACTTCTTGTTAAATTGATATTTGTAAACATAATGTAATGTAAACCTGATTCATGTTGACTCTCCTATTTACAGAAAACAGTTTGCCTGAGCAGCTAGCCCCTCCTACATCCAGTTCAAATACAAAAGCTAACTTGGGATGGTCCAATCACAGCGGTTAATTTGTAACACACAACAACAAAATATATAATTTGTATATATAATATAAATAAATAGTAAATAATTTCACCACACAAAAATGAGAGTTTAGTGCTTTGATTATGCTTGCACTCAGTTTCTCAGGCCTCTGCATTATTTTTTTTTGCCTTTGTTAGCCTCTATACTTGTTTTTACCCAAATGGACCATGCATCTCTCTGTTTGGTTAATCCACTTGTCAAACATCCCCTGTAAATTTGGGGAGACAGGACATAGTTCCAGACCCCCATGTCTTTGTAAAGTATAGTCAAAGTGTGTGGTTTTGTTAACAGCAGTAAACAACCCGTTCTTGTTCCATCCAGCAGAGGGCAGAAGACACTAAAGAACTGAACCACTCCTGTTTATTTGACCTCATTTCAGAATCAACAGCTTTCACACAAGTACAACATCCCACTGTTATTTGTTATTAGGACATCAATTTTCTATTTTTTATTCAATCTTTAAAAAGTTTGTGCATCAAAGATTAAATATTGTTAGAAGTTTAGTTTTGACTTTGAGGTGTACATGTACCACTTCAGACAAAAGGTGCATTCACAAGCGGCAACATTATGATCATGTCCAAACTAGGTCTAAACAGCTAAACAGGAACTAAACAATAAAAAAGACCCAAGTACCAGAAGAACCAACACAACACTATAATAACTATAATAAATCTGTTGTAAATTAAAGCATCAATAAAACAGAATTTACTGCAGTGTCAAATTCTTACAATATAGAAATCTTCTCGAGACTGTGCTATTACCATGGGGCATTCGCATGTGCTCAGCAGTCAAGCTCCTATAAAGGTGCACTATGTAACTTGTGTGAAACAAAATATTGTTTGTTCAACAAAAACATTTTGAGTTTAAGAATAAAAAATAAGATGGAAAATGAATAATCGATCATATCGTCAAGGTTTTTTTTTTTTTTGATATTCCCAGATCTGACCTGGAGCTTGCCCTTATGGCATGATCTGTTTGTGTCCATGGTGAGATTAATGATATATACTGTAAAACATTCTTGTAAAACATGCACATTATCTTGACGCTTGATTTCAGTATATCCAAATACCTTCACATAGGACTAAGGACCCCCCCCACACACACTCACACACTGTATCCAGGACATAACACAAGGCTGCCATGGCAACGCACGCTTGTGTCTGCTCAACAACGCTCTGCGTCTGCCTTTTAGGTGAGCTCAGCCATGGAGATAGACAAGAGAGAGAGGGAAGGATAGAGGAAATAAAGGAGAGAGGGACTAAGAGAAAAGAGAGGGAGGAGAAGGGGAGGTAAGGGAAGAGGAGCAAAAGAAGTGACAGATAGACATGGAGGGGTGAGGTGTAGCAAGATCAGGAAGAGAAGGAGAGAGAGAGAGAAAGAAAGGAGGGGAAGAGAGGAAGGAGAGAGGGAAAAGAGAAAGAGGGGGAGAGAGACGGAGAGAAAAGAGGGAGCAGAGAGAGTGGGATGCCTTCTCATTGAGGTCAGAGAGGGACTGGACAAATGCACTGACATGGACAGTCTGCTCTCCGCCTCCACAGACCTTCAAAGACAGATGAGGCTACTTAAGGTCATCGCAGCATTGGTCTTAAAATAATGTATGAGTAAAAAAGTAAAACGACTCTGTGAACAAGTCTAAAAGAGTCCCTGTGCCCTCTGCTGGCAAGAAGGGGAAGTGTTAAGCAATTTATACAAGGTTAAACAGCTTAGCTGCTGGTCAGACAAGAGCACATGGTTTAAGAAAAACTTGGAAAACCACTACATGCATACTTTTACTGAAGCAACTTGGCACAAACAGATCATGACTGACATCACATCCTACATAAGTCAAAATTATCTCAAGTTTATCAAAGGTGTGTGGAGCAGCACTGGCTACCAAACGATTATCAATTAATGCCTCAACATTGTAGAATCTCTAGAATTTATAGGTGTATTGTGTAACTTTTCTGGTGGAGGGTCTGTCTACTGTTTTTCTCCATGAAGATATTTTTGCTTTGACTGGAATGTTTCACAGTATTGTATGTTTCTAAGTATTTTTGAGCTATTAAAATTCCTGTAATTGAATAAATGTAAGGTAGATGTGTTTAATGTCATACTGTGGAACATTTCAGGCAAAGCAAGGGCAAATCCATAAGAAACAAGCAGGTCGCAGACTCCCAACCAAAAAGTAACACAGTGTACCTTTAAACTGAGCTGAAGGACAGGTCAGAATTAAATGGTGGAATTTCCTGTTTAACTGTCAGAGTGCAGATTTGTTATGATTAGTATCTGTAATTCCTTGGCCTAGGCACATAAAGCAAAACGTTTTCAATGTTCAATGTTTTCTCTGATGTCTTATTCATATGCATAGGTGTGACTGTTAGATGTGATAGTATTATGTCAAGTGATATGTCAAGTTTGTGCTGCGAATCCTAAACAAGTAATGAGGTTCAATATTTGTGGATCAGACAGAATATTTCTTTCAAAAATATATCTCCTAGAGTGTTATAATGCTGGGACATTACAACATTCTCTCAGTAATAATTCTATAATAATACTGAATACTAATGGGGACAGTTAAAATTCATGTTGTTCAAATGCAGATTTTGCTGTGATACATTGAGTTTGTGCGTCTAGTCATTCATGGTTAATTGGTGAATTTCATAGCAAAATACTGTCTGAAAAGCACTAATACACACATGCCCTCCATTTCAAACTATGACACACTTAAATCCTAGAACATAAACGTGAACCACCACTGAACTACTGAAACACTTTCTAAAATAAGAATTAAATAAACAAAACCCAGCCCAAGTATGCCATAGGTAAAGAAACAAAATCACAAAACCATTAACACCTTTGCCAATCTGTTTGCTTCATAAATCACAATTGAAGACACATTCCTGTGGCGTGTGCACTTGCTTGGTTGACCATACTGCCCTCCTCTTGCCCTTGTAGACAGCTGGAATGAACAGCATCTGGGCCTGTCCCACTCCAGCCAGGGCCTCCCATCTATGGGCCGTCACAGGGGACACTCACAGGGGCCTACAGCAGGGGCCCGTGCTGACGTCAGAGCCCCTTTTAAAAGCATGACGTGAATGTGAGCCCTGGTCTTGGCTCGGCCTCAGCTCACATCACATGATAGCGCACATTCGCACCAGAATAGACCAGAGCCTGAGTACTAGCGAGGCCAGAGTTGTGTAAGCGGTCCTGGGTAACAATGTGTCTGCAGGGGGCCCGACATAGGAGGCCAGGGGAGGGTTTCTCAATCAGTGGGACAAGCACAGTTTGTGTTAAAGTGCCTTTACCATTAAATTACCATTTAATTTCTTCTTGTTGAGATCAGTTGTAGAGTATTGCAAATGCAGATAACTGAGAAAAAAATTACTGAAAGACGGCCATTTCACGAAGCATTATATCTGGTACTAACTACAGAAATTACAAAATGGTTCACTATGATCATTGCTAAGAATCATGGGAAGCAACTGCCTGACACAAGATTAGACATCTGATTCTCTGTCATGGTGCATTTTCAATAGTGAGAAGAAAGCACTATGAGGTTAGACATTGATAAGAAGTGTGCAGAAACAGCTACATGACACTATCACTATCACAGCAGCAGAAAGGACTGAGCAGCAGTTCACACAAATATGTTTCATGTCATGGTTTACCAGCAGGTACAGGTCCTTTAAGAAAATAAACGATTTGCTTTGAACTATTGAAACTACGCAAGTACAGGACCAGATGTTGCAAGAAAATACTGTTCAAACATTCTGTCTCAAATACTATTTATTACAATTTTTCAAAAGTTTAATTTATTCAACTTTTATTACAACACAACACAACATTCTGCAGCAACAGTACTTTAGGTGGTAGAGTGAGCCTTTTTCTGTACCTGCCATTTTTGATTCATTGGGCAGGACATTTTGCACATAAATAAATGTAAATAAATGAACAACTTTAAGCTCTTTGAAAACCTTGCAAAGCAATCCTTACAATTGTTATTATTTTTGTCCCTTGAACTTTTGCACTATTCTTATTTTGGAGTATTTGGGGTATACACAAGTGGGAGGAGGTGTACTTACAGCATGTCGGGGCAGTTGTCGGGCTTGTCCAGCAGGCCGCCCTCCATGACGAAGCGCAGGACCTGCTCATTGGACATGCCCTGGTACGGCTGCTCCGCTAACGTTGCAATCTCCCATAACACCACGCCAAAGGACCTGTGACCGGACACACCAAATGTCAGCTAGTACATACAGCAGAACTTGTTTAAATAACTAAGATAGAACCAATTTTCTCTTTGAATTGAATTTGTTGAGGCAAAAAAAATCATAATGTAATTTTTAGTGTTAGTGTGAGAAATAAATATAACTGTATTAGAGGCACTGTAGACCGTAGATTTTTATAAAAATGTGAAAAACAGAACTAGTTCATTTTAAACAGTTTGCAGTGGTCCAAACTTCCCCCTCACTTACTTTATGCATTCTGAAAATCCTAAATATTCACCACAATGAGTTTATAAGTGCTTTTTACAACTCTCAGAATATACTGTTCACTTCTTGATAATCAGACAATAAAGTGCTTTATAATTACGAGTAGACAGCAGGGATGTCACAATAACTGAAATATCAAGATATCGTATTGTCAAATATTTCACAATAATACTGTGGGCTGTCACAATATATCGAATTACAAAATCCTTTGCTTAAATGCATTGTTTTATAGTAGCACTAGCTAATAAACATCGGGAACTACATTTCATTTCAGCTCAGACAACATGAAGAAATATGTTTTTACTTGAATTCTTGGGATTATGACAGTAATAATTCACATCAAAATCTTGTCAGGGTATTTTAAAAGTAAAACGTGTCCTATCTACAATTATATCAGCGTCTCCAAAACATCACAATAAATATTGTACTGTGAGATGCATATCATGATAATATCATACAGAGAGCTTTGGATATCGTTACATCCCTAATAGACAGTACACAGCCGACTTATTATGACCTGCTTATACAATATATCTGTACTGAGGCAAAACCCATTTTGCTCAAACACATGGAAAAAAAAAAATCAACTTGCATTGTGGTTTATTATTTTGCTAAAAGATGGTTGCTTCTAATAGTATTCTAATTGTAGATAGTCATTACTAGAAATAGTAGCAGCACAATAGTGTGAACTTACCACACGTCGGACATGGTGGTGAAGACTCCGTCCTTCAGAGACTCAGGGGACATCCAGCGCACAGGCAGCAGACCCTTTCCACCCTTTCTGTAGTAGTCTGTCTCGTAAATGTCTCTTGTCATGCCAAAATCTGTGGAACAACAAAAACAGAGAGGTTGTAGCGAGGGACTCTATATAAATGAATACTGTTAGATTAAAGCTGAAGTGGTTGTGACTCAATGGTAGATTCTAGCTCTGGTCAGTGCATGTTGTGACTTTTGGCAAGAGACTTTACCTGGACAGCATTTGTGTCTGGGTCTGATAAGTACTTAGATGTGAGACCACTGGAAATACCAGGTGCCACAGTGGGGAGCCAGTGGCAAAAACTTTCAAAAAAGGCATTTCACCTACCTTGCCTAATATGAATGTGGTGTGTGTGTGAGTGTTGGTGGTGGTCAGAGGGGATGGTGCAGATTGGCAGCCTTGTTCCCATCAGTCTGTCCCAAGGCAGCTGTGGTTAGAATAGTTCCTTGCCACCACCGAGTGAGGAATGAATGATTAATGCATGATATTGTAAAGCATTGAATAAGACTCATGAACTATATACAAGTGTCTTCTTTAACCCCTTTCACGGCTAGCCACGGCATAACATCTAATCCAGTTTTGATATGTCATATTTCTGTCCTTTAAGAAGTCCTACCTCCTATCTTGACCGTGAAGTCCTCTGCCACCATGCAGTTGCGTGCTGCCAGGTCACGGTGCACAAACTTATTGGCATTCAGATAAGCCATGCCATCTGCGATTTCTCCCGCCATCTGAATCATCTTCTTTAGAGGAGGCAGCACCTGTGTGGTGGAGTTCTGACAAGAGCAGAGGTGGGAGAGGTCAGAATTTGGATTTTCTTTGTATGACTATGACAAGTGACAGTGTCACTTCTTATTTGTCTGTAAAGCGTCTTTGAGTGTCCAAAAAAGTGCTATATAAGTCTGATGTATTATTATTGTTATTAAATAATGCTTCAAAGAGGAAACAACAGACTTAACATCAGATTATAAATGGGAACTTAAAGGTGCTGTACCTGATTTTTACTTCTGTGTTTAAAACATGAAAAACAGAAATAGACTTGTGCTGGTCCAAAGTTATTCCTCACCTTATGCATTCCACGCATTCAAATTATTCACTGCAATCAGTTCATAAGCGTTTTTCACAACTCTCAAAGACCAGAGGCGAGTTTTGCTGTCATGGTAATGCTAACAACAATTAGTAAACCAATGCACACTTCCTGATAATCGCACTATAAAACATTTTATATCTCTACTGGGACAAGACCATTTTTGCTCAAATACAAGTGAAAAATCACGTACAGGGTCTTTAACTAAGAATAAACTTGAGCTAGATCAGAACTAAACCAGGGCAAGAATAAGACTGAACCAAGTCTACCACAGGACTAAGCAAGGCTTAAACCTAGAATAAACCAACCATTTTATGTTCAATAATGCTGTAAACAGCCATCAGATATATGGAAAGTAGCTTACATGGAAGGTAACTTTCTTAAATTTACCACTTACAACTTAAAAAAAAAGTGTATTAAAGCAATTTTATATTGGTATTGAAAAAAAAAAAGAATCTATGGCGCCAAATGTTGACCAAAGTGTTCTGAATGAAGACTCAGAACACGTTAACATCTTGTCCTAGTCCTTGATTGTATTGTTTTATTTTTCCCATAGCTACATGTGGCCTTGGCCTGGTCTCAGTCTGGTCTCTGGACACTCACATCCTGTTACAATGGCCTTGGCTACAACATGCTTCATTATCTACAGAGGAATACAATGAACTCAGTGTGTTCTAGCTCACATTTGATACATAAAAAAAGAGTCCTGTGTTTTTGGTTTCAGAGGTTGACACAAATTGTTTTAAAATTTTTGCCATTTTGCTTTTCTTAAAGGGCCTATACTGTGCTATTTTCTGATCTATGTTATAATGTGTCTTCGTCAAAAACACACCTGGAGTTTTGTTTCATTCAAACATGTTTAACACACAAACCCTGTATACTTAGGTTAAGTTCTCTCAAACTGAGACTTGTGATGTCAATCATGTGGTAATACAGGAAGTGCTCTATATGCCTTCACTGGTATCATTTGGATAATTTCATACCTTGAATTGCAAAATAGCTGTTAACTTGAAAATCAAATCGCTTTATGACATCACAAGGTGGAACAGAGCATTTTGAGCTTTGGAGATGTAGATGCAGGGTATGGAAGGGTATAGTAGGGTATAGTTTAAGTCTATGGTATAGAATACTCACTGGTTTTCGTAGAGAGCGCAGGTGGCTCTTGAGGTCTCCTCGGGTCATCAGCTCCATGATGACCAGAGTGGGCTGTCCCTGTGACACCACACCCAGCAGCCGCACCTGACCAATCACAGAGCAGATCAGTCACAACACATGATTTTGACTGACAATCCTCTCAAAGCTGCAGTCATCCCTCTTGCTAGTGTACCTTTTCCTATCACACTTTTTTCTTCCACTCAAGTTTTTATGAATATGCTGTAATCTAACACTGAACAGAGTGTATCACAGCTTCTTCAGCAATGACCTTTTGTGGCTTTCTCCTTGTGGAAGGTGTCAATAACTGTCTTCTGGACATCTGTCCAGTCCACAACCTTCAGCAGGATAGTATAGTCCACTGACCCAGACTGAGAGACCATTTAAAGGTTCAGGAAACCTTTGCGTGTGTTTTCAGTTAATTAGCTGATTAGGGTGTGACACCATGACTTCCCAATATTCAGCTTTTTCACACTATTCTAATTTTCTGAGACACATGAAATAAAGGCTTGAAAGCTTCACTCTATGGGTCATGAATCTATACAATATATGGGCTTGAATTTCTGAAAATAGTAACAAAAATATTGAACTTTTTCCATGATATTCTATTTTATTTTTGATGGACTAGTACATCATGTTCTAGAGTCTAAACTCTGGGAAGCAAGGGGGACAATTACAACTGTCAATACAACTTTTGGAAATGTATAACCAAAACAGAAAATCTATATGTTGCTCTATTTGTATGACATGACATACACTCCACATACTAACAGTAGAATATCCTTAGCTTGTCTCTTACCACGTGATGACAGTTGAACTCCTTCATGACCGAAGCTTCATTCAAAAACTCGATCCTCTCCCTCATGCTGGCTGTCTCATTCACCGTTTTGATGGCCACCCTGGTCTCTGGCTCGTCCTTGACCACCCCCTTGGCCGTGCCCTCGTACACCATACCGAAGGAGCCCTGGCCCAACTCACGGTGCATGCTGATCTTCTCCCGTGCCACCTCCCACTCGTCCGGCACATACACTGTCATGCACACAAGCGCACCTTCAGGTCAGTACAGGCAGCACGGGGGAGAAGAGTAAAAGTAGGACTAAACGCCTGCATGATGTCATCTAGTACTTGAAATTGCAGAGGCCACTGGAGGCAGCACACACTTAAGATTTTGACTGTTTTTGAACAAAGTAGTAGTAGATAACAGTAGATAATACTATTACAACACCAGGTACACAGTTTAGTAGCAAAAATAGATTGATCTTGTTTAGTTCCACTTTAAAAGGCGGATGCATTAGATCTTACTCTCGGCTGCACTGAAGTACTCTGGGTTCACAGAGGTGTACAGGACTCCGTTGCCAAGGCGATCGTTGTTCCTGTGGGGAGAAGCACTCTGGGTTAGGAATGGTATGAAACTGAATGGCATACATGTCGTAATAAAAAATACACATAATTACTTTTAGGCATTTAAAACACTGTAAAAAAAACTGTAAATTGATAGGATAAATATGGTAGGATATAGATTTTTTAAACATATACTGTATATATAATTTTATTTATTCCAAAACTTGCCGGAGGTCTGGTCAAGACAGATTAAGAAAATAAAGTTGGAGAATGAAATAACTGTGTCATGGTGGGCGTGTATCAGTGGTGAGGAAAGTGGGGGTAGATCGGAGCAAAGACCTTGAATGAGTATAAATATTACTGAAACATGAATAAATAACTTAAGAGAAGAGAAAACAACTGTGACATGGTTAAAAGCTCTGAAAAGTTGATAGGTCTTTAAAAATCTATATATCTATATATGCAGCTTTGAACTCAATTCTTTTTAACAAATCTATTCACATCTATGAGTAATCCTGCACAGTTCTTCAAGAGAATCCCAAACACCTTCCACCATATCTTGGCATTGTCTAGCTTTCCGACCTACATAACACAACCAACAAACATGAATTCTAACAGATATTGTTTTTAGCTTGAGCGTCTCTCATCTCTCGAGGTTTGTCTCTCAGCCAAACTTTATTTGATCGAGAGACCATAATCATTCAGGGCCATAAGGGGCACTTTCTCATCTGTGCTGGTACACAAAATGTACCAACAAAGACGAACGACCAATAGTGGACTTCAGTCTGCCGTACATCTCCATCTAAAAGCCTCAGGCCACTCCTTTGAGGATAGTGAGGTACAGATCTTAGGCAGAGAAAAACATTGGTTTGAAAGGAGTTAAAGAAGCTATTTTTGTTAGGAAAGACAATGCATCTTTGTACAGGAATGGGGGAAACAGACACCATCTATCTCCTGTTTACAACTCCATCCTCAAACTGAAATCAAAACAAGGAAAGAAAACAATAGTGATAGCCAGGTCAGGCCCAGAGGTGTGAAAGCACCTCTTATGGCCCTGAATGATTATGCTAATAAGACCCCACACTCAGTGCAAGTTCAACAGGCCTAGCTAACTAACAGAAACTATAAACAAGTAGGTGTGTTAGTTTTAGAGTTGTTTCATTGTAGTTAGCTCCTCCCTTCAAGCAGATATAAGGAAGTGTCCACCAGGATTCCGACCAGAAATGAAGAAGCAGCTTGGATGAGCTGCGAAACGTATTTGACCAAATAAACTTTTGTACAGTTGACAGACTGAATTTCTCCTTTTGCCATTTATCAGAGCTGTGCCTTCAATCACCTCTTCTTGCTCATGTAGAAGACCCCGGTGATGATGGCTGCGATGATCAGAGTCACTATGATGGGCAGGATGATTACCAGGTACAGCTTCTGGATGTCCCCTGTTCACAAGACCAGCACATATGAGTGTAAACATGTTTGTGACCACAGAGAGGATACTGCCTGATAAGGGGTGCTCACGTTTGGGAGGGGGCACATAGAAGGACACACTCTCTGTCCATGACCCGTTCCCAGCCAGAGATGTGGCTCGGACTCGGACAGAATAGTTTCCCGGGCCCAGCAGGGAGAGGCGTGCCCCCCTGTGGATGCGGTAGTGCTGTTGTGACACACACTCATGCTTCTCAGGCTGCAACACAGGAGAGACAGTATATCGGACTCTATTCATCTTTATGCATCAGTTATCTGTATTAATTTATCTTCTGGGTATTTTACAATGACTTATCTTAGCATGTGTTGAATTTTTGGTTACTGGCACAGCAATAAAGCTTAATGTGATTGTGATTTTTAATAAATGCGTGAAAGCCAACTCCATGAAACCAGTCCTACTAGTCAAATGAACAAAACTGTGACCTGATCGGGCTGAGGCCAAAATGCATATAACATCACATGCTATTTTATTTACCCATTCACATTTAACTGCATATTTTAACAGTAATGTATGTCATGTGTATTAGTCACATAATGCAGCAATATCATTAACTAAAGAAACAACTTTTTTCATATACAATATATATAAATGTGTCTAAAACTGATGTTAACTTGAAACAAGTTTCAACTCTCCCCTCTCTGTCAGACATGACAGTGAGTGCATGTGGTTGTTGCTCTGAACTCGAGGCCCAGTCTGTACTTGTCAGTATAAAACTTTCTCTCCTCTCCAGTAAGGCATAACAAGGTGTATATGTAATAGTCCCAGTCTCCTTCTATGTATGTATGTAACTGAGTGTATGTATGTGTTTGTTGCTCTGACCTCAGGGCCCAGTCTGTACTTGATGTCATACACCAGCACCAGTCCGTTGGGTGAGACGGGTTCAGGCCAGTGCAGCAGCACACTGCCCTCCGCCTTATCATCCATCTGCACCTGCACGCGCCCGGGGATGTCATCTGCCTTCTCTGTTTCACAACACAGATACCAGTGAATCCACAGCACTAACTCCATATGCACATCCATACATGTATTATAATGTAATGTAATGTTATGGAGGGTACAGTGGGAGAATTACTTAAATTTGCAGAAAAAAGTACTGCCTATGATTCTTCAGATAGTTTCAACAGAAGGCCTGTGGACTAACAAAAATGGTTTAAGGGCTACATTTAGCTCCTGGGCCATGGTTTGGATACTTGACTAAGTATTCATACAATGAAGGTCTGACTGACACCATTTTAGAAAACTCTTGATACTGCCTGATTTCATCTTGTTTTATCTGAATTTTTTTTTTACTTTTCATATGTAGCAAAAGTCTTATTATCAGTTTGTGATTCTATAATTGTATTCTGTATTTTGTCTTGATAAGAATTTTCAAAGCATTAGAAAGCAAATTGTAACAATAAAAAAGATAAAACTAACTATTATTGCTATAAAATTGATCTAAACTAGTCAAACTATAGAAAAATAAATGAATATACTGAATTTAAGCCATTTTAAACAAGCTTAACAGTGTGCTCTTACCTGCTGGTTTGGTCCTGGCGAACACAAAGTCGGAGGCGCTACAGCGGCTCACCTCCTCGTTGCAGGCGTGCACATCTATCCTGTACAGGGTGAAGGGGCGCAAGTGAAAGATGTCCAGGTACTCTGAGGTACTTTTGTCCTCTGAGAACAGGTACTCTCTGACAGGTGGTAGGCCCTCTGTGCTGTTGTCCCCCACACCCAAAGACACGTTAGCCTGTGTGCTGTTAGCCACACCGAAGACATCTCTACGGCGACGGTCTGGAGGTCTGAAACACACATTAGTTTAAGTTTAACTTTATTCAGGTTGATGACATTTTGTTGGTCACTTCAGCGTTTTATATAGTCTCTAGTCAATTATAAAACAGTTTGCAGGACTGTATCTCTGACACAGTGAAAAATAAAGCAGTTTGTCACAAGCTAAAAACATGTCTACTTGTAATTATCTGGCTGAGCTGCTCAAAGTTTGGTGAAGATTTATGGACATTAAAAACCACAAAAGAAGACCAAGGATTAGGATGACTGGATTTTATTTTAGTATCAGGAAGTGCACATAAGCATGCTAGTTGTTGTAACTTTACCATCACGGCAAAACTGCGCTCTTGTCTCTGAAAGTTGTGAAAACTGCTTACAGTCTTCCCTGGGTAAACTTTGAGTATTTCCATAGTACTGATCACAAGTGGAACTGTCCCCAGACTCAGTCTTAAATGCAGAAGTCTATGTGTCTCGTAGGAGCGGGCGGAGGGATATTGCTCCCGGTGGTGTAGTGAGGAGTGATGAGGTCAGACAGATCAGTGGACACACACAGATACATACAAATGCACTGGGCGCGTTTTCCACCACAATGTTACTGGACTGGAAAAGAGGACAGCCAGACAGAAAATGGTTAAATATAAAAATAATAAGCAAGTTTTCTTGGCTAGACAGTCTGAGAGCAGTGACAGCGACCTACATTTTATGTAACTGCCATACACAAGGAGAAGCAAAGATGTAACGCTCACAGCATAAGTCTCTACTGAATGGAAGGGCATCTGACCTAGGCCTACATGGTGATGGCTAGATAGACTGACACTACATCCAAACTTTGTCAAGGTGGGTGAAGTGTTTAGCGTAAGGATACAACAACAGTATTCATTGGTCAAACCTTTGGGTAAATTGGGTACGAGGTAGGGTTGTTAAAAGTTGAAAATTGAAAATCAGATCCTAAGTAATACTGAAAGTATGGTATTGTCAAAATTAGATACTCAATTCAGCATATATTGATAGTTAAAAAAAAAAACTTCACATTCATAGAGTAAGACTTTAGAATGAGCTTTCTGTAGAACCTACATAGAACATAGACCAGTACATGCCCAGGACCACTGTGGAACCTACCTGGATTACACAGATATAAGGCCACATGGGAATATAAAAGAAAGTACTATGATTTAATGTTGTAAGGGACATTCTTTTGTCTGAATAAAGAGTGTTTTTTATAGTCATTGTGATATCGGTATTGAGTATCGAGTTTATTCCTTCAAATCTGAAATTTTAGTATCATGACAACATTAGTAGTACATGGGTTAATGCAATCTATCTGAAGTTCAAATCTTGAACACAGAAGGAGCAGTGCAGGAAACACAAATGTTCAAATCATTTCATATTGTCAACATGAAGCTTTTGTCATTTGCAGACTTACTCACAGTGGGAAAATCATAACCAAAACTTAGTTTTCAATAAAAATATTATTCAAGTAAGAGTACAAGTCTGCTTCTAGAAAAGTACAATTTCTTTAAAAAAGTGAATATAAGTAAGAGTACTACCTTCTTCTGCTACTGTAAGACTATTAGTGAAAACCACTATAGACACCGTCCTCTGATGTGTTGCTCAGAGACAGTGGGTCCTGTGGTGTGGAGGAGACCTGATCCCCCAGTCCAACACAGGGACCGTGGGAAAGCCCAATCGCACAAGTACACTAACACACTAACACGCTAACATGCTAACATTCTTGTGTGACAGACAGAAGAGGAGCCGTTGTAAAAGCCAAAGCCTATCAGTGAAAAGTGAAATCAGCTAGGGGTTTTCAGATGGTTAGAAGAGTAGACTTTAGCTGCACTCAAACAGTAGGTGGAGGCCCAGATGTTAGTAACTTTAGAAAGTCAAATATCTTAGTAAGCCTCTTTTTGTGTATCATAGCAAAACATCTGATCCAAGGATCGGAAGATCATCATACAATGATCAACCGAGAGATTAGAAATGTAAGCATGCTGATATGGTACATAATATGTACATGTAATTTTACAGAGCACCCAGTTTTGTAGGATGCAGTTATATCCCTTGTCTAAGTAAATGTCGGACAATACATAGAAAAAACCTGACTCTTACTTGGCCCAGAAGAGGGCTTGTCCTGCTTGTTTCTATAGAAATGTAAACTTTATCTAACTTCATGAAGAATGTTACTAAGTATGATTTTAACTTTCTGTTTCCATGGAATCATGAAAGCCACTTTCCACCCCAAGAAACTCCCGCACTGTACCTTTAATCTTAATCTTAACACAATTAACATAGGCATCTGATGTCATCAACATTCCCTGGGGATTAAAAATTTATCTAATCTTGGTTTTAACTAAATCTAACCATAAATAACTGACTTACCTGGAACTTAAACAGGTGAGCCGATTTTGTAGTGTTAAACACATAAAAAGTTTATCCAGTTAATCACATTTTTTCCTAAACAGAATCGAGAAAATGAACACTGGCTTCTGAATGTGTTGTTTTTGTATTTTTTCTTGAATTTGCAGACAAACTTTTTTGACATTGTTGGCTAATGTGTGTGCATTGTGTCTCCCTGGTAACTGCTGAACATTCCACCATAGAGATACATATTTAACACCCCCAGAGTGGTATCACCAAAAAGTATCAATAAGATGAAAAGAAAATATGAACGAACATACACAAACCACTGAGCACACATCTCTGTCAACTACGTAATTAACACTCACCCCTCCAGAAGAAGGTTCTGGGTGTGAGTCCAGGATCAGACCAGATCAAAATTGAGTTTACAAGATCTGCCTGGGTGTTTTTTTTTTGTGGCTTCTACAATCACCACAAACCATACAATAATGTTTCTGCAAGGTACCATGACAACCTAGTTTAGTATTAGCACTGAAATATGGATGACATTCAGATGACAATCTTATTTCTAACTCACAAACTGAGAAGTACTGAGAGACACTAGAGCAGTGATCAAAAACACCCAAATCAAACCCACTTATCTACTCTGCTCACCACGCCCTCCTTCAGGTCATCTCCAGGATTACACCCTCCCCTGGGCACTATAAGGCTGCTGTGGTTTTATTAAAAAATCATTAAAAACATATAGACCATGACATTTGCACACAGGAGAGAGATCATGAGAGGAGGGGCCGATATGGATATGATTACAATGGAAAGTTATGATTTATTTTTCTTATTGATACTGTAATATTTGGAGCTGCCAAGTGGATCACATGACAAAGATCATATTACTGATAACAAAAGCTCCATATTTTAATAAACAATTGGCGTACATTTGTAGCCCTATTTGTATGTGAAAATTGTATTTTAAACTAGGGTTGAAAATCAGATACTAATCAATATTAAAACTAGTACAAAAACTAGATATTAACTTGAGCGGCTATCAATGCTAAAAAAAAAAAAAAAAAAAATCACGTTCACAGGACAGAAACAGATTTTTCGTGAAAACCTATAGAGGGATTTTGAGCTGTATCAGAACAAGTAAAATGACGACTAAGGGATAACACAAATATAAGTCCACATGGCAATATAAAAGAAAGTACTACGATTTAATGTTGAAAGTAACACTCTATTGTCTAATAAAGTGTTTGTTATCATCATGGTATCACAATAGCTACTGAGTAACAGTACTAGAAATCAAGTTTGAAATGTTATTATCGTGACAAAACCAATGTGGAGCCATGTTGGTGTTGTACCTTTGATAGAAGATGGCATTATGGAGGAAGTTCTCAAACATCTTGAGGAAGAAGCGGTTGGCCTTCTCGCGGTCCTTCTCCTCCTGGGTTTTCGGGCAGCCACAGCACGGGCCCTTCTCACCCTCTGCTGCGTCTGACTTGGTGGGTTTGGTGTTCTCCTCCTGTTCGGTCAGGCCGTTTGCCGGGACGCGGATGGGGGTCTTTAGTTCTGTGTAACAAAAAAGCAAGATTACTGACTTACTAGATTTTTTTCTTCACTCACCTGTATATGTGTATTTCTTGCCCCAGAACAGAAATATTGTATAAGCAGCTCTTGAGGTCAACATAAGTCGACTATGTGCTGTCTGTATCTAATAAAAAATTTTCTTATTGTTGGATAATCAAGGAAATGCGTGTTGGCATGCTAGTTGTTGTTAGTTTTGGCATCACAGCAAAACTCTTCTCTGGTATCTGAGACCTGTGAAAGTGCTTATAAACTGATTGAGGTGAATAATTAGGATGCTTGGAGTGCATTAAGTACATGAGGAATAACACCGCTGAAAACCATTTAAAATGAACTAGCTCTGTTTTTCACATTTTTAAGATGGTAAAAATCAAGTACACTCTAATGTATGTGAGTGTGTCAGTGAACATATTGAAAAAATATAATCATTAGCAATGTTATTATTGTCAGCATGTGGCAAAAAAATAGATAGACTGACATGCTTTCATGTGAGGCATGGTCTGTCCATATACTGAGAATGAGAAAAACTTGTATGTGTATCTGCAGGTTAAGGCATTTGATATTTGAATCTCTCCTAACATGTCTTCTTTAGCCTGTTCACTATGGTGTGTGTGTGGTGGGGGAGCAGACCTTTGGAGCAGTAGTTGTGTAGGTAGAGTTCGCGGTCTTCATGCTGTTGCTGCCAGCGCACCAGGTAGTAGCTCAGGTTCCCGTTGGGGAAGGCCGGGGGCAGCCACTTCACCAGGAGACGGGTGGAGGAGTTAGCGTAGGCATGGGTTTCTTTAGGCATCGACGGCACTGCAATCACAAAGGAGGTTGTTGTTTACGTTAGCCCTCTAACAGGAAGAATTAAAACAGGGTATGAATGCAAATAGAAAACAATAAAAAAAATATTGTGTCATTGTGTCACTGGGCAAAATATGTAACCTGGTGTAAGAAAGGATAAACTGTTATTTAAAGATCCTATTCAGCAAAATGCAGCCATTTTATAATGCTGTTACCTCCTCAAAAATATACCAAGAGTTGTGTTTCGTTTCATTCACACATTTGAGTAATTATGCAGTATTTGTCTGTCTGCATCTTCAATGTTCAATATGCTCTCTGATATTATGTAGTGGTAGTTTTAAGGTTAACATCTATTTTTAGCCTTAACTGAACTAGTTTAGTCTACAATACACTTGAATAACCTTCAGCTGTTGCTTTTATTTTGAAGCTTTTTTTGTTTTACATCTTGTACAGATGAGATCGTCACAGAAAGTCTAACATCTGCTGGTGCACCAAGGAGTGAAGCAGATTCAATGTGGCTAAAACAATAGCTGTAACATCAAAGTTTGGCAAATCCAGGGCTAAAATGATCAAAATTATTCCTGTGAAGGTGTATGGATTTTAAAAACACAGCAGAGAACTTTCTGTATTACCACTTAATGACATCACAAGCTGGAACAGGGTGTTTTCATTTTGAGAGAGCACAGAATAAAATGCAGGATTTTATGAATAAAACAAAACATAGCTCCATCCCTGTTCATGATAAGGAAAATTTATAACATAAATAAAAAATAATGTCATATATATTAACTTGTAACTTGTTTTGAATGCCTAATAAAAGTAAAAAAGAACATATTAGTTAGTGGTGTACTGACTGGAGGGGCGTGTGCGGATGTAGACGATGTGGCTCTTGGCCCCTGGGAGGCGGTCTGCCTGCAGAGTGATGCCCTTCACAAAGATGGCGTATTGGGTCCAGGGCTTGAGCTGCTGCAGAGTCACTTTAGGGTCATCGCTCTGGTCACCAGGGAGATCCACATCCACCATGTTCCAGCTGTTAGAGCCACATCCGTCCAGCCCATCAAACTCTGTGATATTCTGGAAAGGACTGAAGAAGACACATGTAAGAGGATGGAAGGATGGACAGTATCAGTTTATGTAGAAAGTAAACTACCAGTAGAATGTTTGGATACACCTTTTCAAGGAATACCAAAAGCACAAAGAAATGATCAGTGTAAAAGGTGTTTATCTAAAATAAATCTAAACCATTAGTTATTTTTAGTTTATATATTTTGCTTACAAGATTCTATATGTGTCATTCATAGCTTTTATGCTTTCAGTGATAATGTACAATGTAAATAATCATGGAAATAAACATAAGTAAAAAGTGTGTCCAAAGGTTTGACAGGTAGTGTATGTAGGGACGCCGTACGCTTCTTTGTAGTAGACGACGAAGTTGACGTGGTCTGAGTAGTTGTGAGGTCGATAGTGCTCCCAGCTCAGCCAGATGGTGTAGCTTGTGGTGTGGTTGGCCTTGAACTTCAGAATGTGGCTTTCACCTGTGGACAAAACATGAGAGTTACATCAGGCCTGGATGGTGAGTCCATAAGCAGAGGAGCTGTACTGGAAGGACATTTAGACATTGGCCTTGTGTTCAGGTATGTGTTTTGTTACCAGACAGAGGCTTTAGTGCAAGTTTGAAGAATATGCTTTATATGCGCTGTATTATCACTGCACTGAATGTGGTTACTTTTATCAATGAATGACACAACAAATTGTTATAAACATGAATTCCACACCAGCTAATGAAAACACTGTGCAGGTTTGTGAAATCGTAGTGTATTGTTTTCTTTCATGCTTTTGCATATTAATGGAAATTTTCATATGGAAGCATGGGTGATGTAGGATTGTAGGCTGAGTCTTGGACAGGATCGTACTCCTAAACATAAGAAGGTTTGAACATGCATAAAAGCCTCTCTTTAACATAATATTATATTAATTTTGTTCATTTTTAGTAACAGTTCACATCAGAAAAACTGTTCTGTTTTGGTGTCTTCACTGTGATATGAGCTTTTACAATGACATATGCATTTATATGTAGGACATATGGTTTAGCAGTGTTAGAGTAGTGTGGTACATTACTCACAGCTGGCTCTCTGTCCGTTGTTGTGGAAGTCGCTCTCCTCTTGCTTGACCGTGATGCCTGTGCGCTCCACCATCTTGTGGATCTCGGACATACACAGTTTGGGGTTCATGCGGAAGAAGAGGCGCCCCGACTGGATGGTCAGGTTGTGCTGTGTCCAGTTCCACAGGTACTGCAGGTTCATGTTGTTAATAGCTGAAAATGCATACATGCTGGGGGAGAAAGCGAGAGAGAGACAATACATTATAGTCACATTTCTTCTTCAGTAAGGGGTGGGCAATACATCAATACAAAACTTAAACTGATTGCCATCTACTTTTCTGTTCCCACTTCTCTCATTGGTCAGCTTCTCTAATGTTCTGAATGAGTGACAGGTGAATTTAATGAATCACAGCAATGGCTGAACACTCAGAGGAAACAGACAGATTTATTTATTTGAGGCAAATAAATGTACCTGAATTATATTTGATGAGATATTTCTTGCCATATTGTCCACCCCTAATATCAGATGTATTGTAAGTATTTATGGTACTTAGAGATACATATGGAAGTAAAGAGCTTTGTAAAATATAAAAAAAATAGGTAATAAAATAAATAAATAAATACATACAAATAAATGCAATTTGGTATTGCAAACATAAAACATAATGTTGATTTTAAATACATGTATACTTTATGTCATCTATTTTTTTACAACATAAATGCAGTGTTCTGTTTTAGTAGTAGTAGTAGTAGTAATAATAATAATAATAATAATAATAATAATAATGCATTTTATTTAAAGGCGCATTTCTGGGCACAAAATTTAGTTAAGGAGAATCTTTTAAAGGTCCTATATTACACAAAATTCACTCATGAGCTTTTAGACATGCTAGACTGCTGTTACATTTGAGTAACGCTTTATTATTAGTTGAATGCTCTGTTCCACGTCATTGTGTCATAAATGGCTAAAATTATCCAAATGATTCCAGTGAACATGTATGGAGTTTCAAAACACAATGAAGCATGTCCTGTGCTCACAGACTGCACATAGACTGTATAAAGAAGCAGACTAAGAGAGTGTGATGCCACCCATAGAATTCGGCTCCTCTCAAATGAAGCTCGCGATGCTAATAGTTACGTGGGTGAATTTGGAGCCAGGCTCAATATGAGGAATAGGATTTTTTTTTTAACAGACAAAATAGCAAAATAAAAACACTAAACACATAGATCGGGTTAATACAAACAAAATGACAAGTCTCAGCAGTTGTAAAGAGAGGGGCCACAATATTCCAATGCAAGTGAATGGGAGCCGGGGTCAATAGGAGATGGAAGCACCGGCATTCAAACTTCATATTTGACACGCGGCGGCTAGTGTGTTAGCTATCCATTTATACGGGCCATTTAAAATCCAATTATTTGTTTTGGATTCACATAAAAGAACTGAAAGGGAAATGGTTGCGTCACTGATTTACTTAAAGTCAATATTTACTTTTTTGTAGTAGAGGCATCAACCTTATTTTGACCTTATTTTTTTGCAGTTAACAAAACTAATTAAAACCAAATTTCAATGTCTTCATATTTCCTCATTGAATAATATGTGTTTCATTACAGCAAGATGATGTCAGTGCATTCCTTGATATCCAGTTCATGTGACAAGTGACATTTGAAAGGACATGTGCTGTACTACACCTCCATATTAAATACATGCCTTCCTTATGGGCATTCCTCGGGTGTAACCTAAGCCTGGGAGAGAGCGGGGAGACGGGCACTGGCTTTCCCATGACCCCTGCCTCTGACCGACAGCCAAAAGTCAGGCTCGTATCTGAATGAGCTGCTGATCCAGGCTAACAGGACACTGATAGCACAACACTATCTGTTTAGCTAACTTATCAGGCTGCACTCTTGAGATGAAACAGTCATGTGTAAAGTGCACCGTGCTTAAATGATTTATATTTCATTTATCATTTAAAGTGCATGCGGCAAGTTTTCATAATTATGACTCCGCGTGATGAGACAGTTCCTGTGGTAAATATCTAGCATAGTTTTACATCAGTTAAGTTTGTGGAAAACAAAGTTTGAAAAGAAAAGTACAAAAGTAGTGCTGAGTAAAAAAAACACAATACTTCTACCTCTATGTCATCATTACGGAAAATTCCTTCCAAAATGCAGAGACGATTGTACATACAAGGAAGTCAGTTTTCTGAGAGTTAAACAATGATCCAACTGTCTAATCATCACTATTGTGTAATTTAGACAAGTTTTGGCCCTTGCTTAGATTGTGGTTGCTAGGTAACCAAGATCTAAACTTCACCAAATTGAAATAAAAAGAAAGAACATAGCAACTCTTAAATATAATTATTACATAATGTTTTTGTGAAATTCATATTTCAACCTGTCATATGCACTTAAATAGCCTATTATTTTATTTCTAGGATGTATCTATATTATTTTATTTAGTATAAATAAATAAAATTGCACAATAGAAGAGAAACATTTTCATGGGAAATTCTTTGTATTATTCATGCAGCTTTGAGTTTAGGAATGACAAAAGCATATAAGCGACATAAATACATAAGGCTACTCCATTATTTTAAAACAAAAATCATAATCATGAATATGATTTGAGTCATTCCAAACATTTTGTTATTTTGAAAATACCATAATTATCAATTATATAGTTTGTAGCTGCAAACTTATATGAACAGGCTTTTTTGAACACCTTTTGGACATGCTTTGATATAAAAGATACTCAATTCAATTCAGAATTCTTTATCAATTTTAGCTCTGATAGTCAATTTTAATTTAATTTAATAATTAAATTTGTTTTGCCACCAAAACACAAGGTGGGCCAAGACACAATTCCAACTCCAATGGACAATAGGAGAAAAGGTTCGAAGCTAGTTGAGTATTCACGCCCAAGTATGCCAGAGCAAGCTGGAGAAACCAAGACAGCCAAGCCCCAAGGAACTGTCTCCCAAAGGAGAGGAGGAAAAGAGACAGAAGACAAAAGAAACACCAACTTACAGCCATTGTGTAGGCACCTTCAGCAACATCCAACCCTGAGCTGAATGGATCGTCAATTCAGCCCAAAGCTATCAAACCAAAGAGTGGAGGTTTGAAGCTACCATTTGACAAACCAAAAGTAGAAATGTCTAAAAGAATGTGTTGCCTCCACTGGCTACTGCTATTTCAAGTACTACACAGGACTGTCCTGCTTACAGCCAGGAGTTTGTAATCACAAAAGCAAGAGCAATAAGCAATTGCGAAGCTTGAAGTGTGGATACACATTATTCACACTGTTCCACCTGTCCTCAATAAATTTACAGTATGAACATTACTTTGGCAGCGAAAATGTAAAATTCGAATTAAATTATTTGAATAGTGAACTCAACTCTAATGATCTAAAAAAATGAATAACCATGATTACTTAGGTCATAATGGACATCTCACCTACTTTAATAATTTTTCACATAGAAGCAGAGGAAGAAGAGAAGAAAAGAATTTTAATAATTTGTAATGTTTTGTATTTCACAGTTTGTCTTTCAAAACAGATAAACAGGTTTTTGTTTAAATGTTTGTCTTTCATACACTTACAATTTTTATAAATTGAATGTTTTAAATAATGACATTTTTTAATCAATGTATTTATTTATTTTGTATTAATATATTTGTTGTCTACTCTACTACCAACATAAAAAGTAGTGGTGAAAGAGGACATACTTGTCCATGAGTTGGTGTCCGTTGATGTAGCGCAGGCTCTTGAGGAAGGAGAGAGAGTCCAGAGTGTGGGAGTGTCGGATCCTCACGTAGCCTGTCACCGTCTGGATCAGGCCCATGAAGCTCTCCAGCTCCAACGCAATGTTGTCTACGAAAGAGAGACAATCTATATCAGCATATGTCAAGGATTCTATGGAGGTAACCAACATCCAGCAGTTTATAACATCTATACATGTAAATAAGAGTAGGACTGTGTCACATGTTTCACCAATTAATTTCTTGAAATATTTGGTTTATATGTATGTGTAACTGCCAGGGATAAAATTACATTAGCATTACTGTCATTTTGTAATATGAAAATCTCAAAATATTGCTTTGTTGCAGTGGAAATTATTCAATATTTGTCTACACTGTCCATTTGAGTCCACTAAAGTTTCAAGCTAGTTTGTCATTTTTATTTTATCAAGAAAAAGTTAATCTCCATTAAATAAAATATAGTTTATAAAAATTTAACTTGACTTGAAATGCTATCTGAAAAAAAATCTCATCCTCATACCACAATTAAGTGGTTAATCAGATAGACATTAGAATATGATCAATATTAAAGGTCCTATACTATGCAAACCTGACACCTCTGCCAAAACATACACAGGGTTGTGTTTTGTTTCATTAATTTCATTTTATTTACTGCTTGAGTAATCTTGCATTATTAGTCTGTCTACATCTCCAGCGCTGAAAATGTTCTGATCCACTTTGTGATGTCATGAAGTGGTACTTCAAGTTAACAGCTAATTTTGTTCAGTAGAGACTGGCAATTCCAGGTCTGAAATTATCCACATAATTATGCTGAAGGTGTATGGAGAAAAACACAGTACAGTCAGGTACTTCCTGCATTATCACATGACATGACAACATGGAACAGAGTTTCAGAGAAGAACAACTAAATATGCAGGAGTTGTGTGTTAAACATTTGTGAATTAAACAAAACAACTCCAGGTATGTTTTTGATGAGGAAACAACATTATAAAATAGTTCAGTAAAAATGCCCTTTAGCAACTTCTTTACCTCTGATGAAAAACATAGAAAATCTGGTCAGCTGACAGAACCAGTTGTAATGTATGGCCTAACCCAGACTGATTCCATACGTCCCCTCAGACAGTCTCTTAATGCTCACATCCACAGGCCTCATATGCATGGATTATGCTCTGATCCAGCCCGCGGAGTGAGAGCTTACACTGTAATGTGATAATTGGGTTAGCCTAAAGGGGCTGGAGGTCCTGGTGGTTCTGTTGCCCTCTCTCTACCTCCCAGCAGCAGCTCTCAGCGGCCTCCAACCACATCCACCACAAGTGAACAGAGAAGGGCTGATTTCCAACCATATCCACAAGCGTTTAGAGATATTGTATGGTGAGATACCCTATACTTAATATAAAGTAGTGAATTTAAAGGGCCCATATTACACTATTTTCTGATCTCTGATAAAATGTTGTTACCTCATCAAGAAACATGGAGTTCTATTTTGTTTCATTCACACGAATCCTGCATATTTAGGCATATATATACAGGAAGTGCTCCACTGTGTTTTTAAAAGTCATACACCTTCACTAGAATCATTTGGATGATTTCAGCCCTGGAATTGCCATTCAGCCCTGGAATTGCCAAAAAGGTAAAAAGTAGCTGTTAACTTGAAAACTACAACTTCATGACATCACAAGTTGGAATAGAGATGTCGACAGACTAACAATAAAGGATTACTCAAACATGTGAATGAAACAAAAGACAACTCCAGGTATGTATTCAATGAGGTAACAACATTAGAATATAACATTGCAGGCTTATATATTTACTGAACCACGTTCCAACTCATTTGTATTAAGACATTTCATTCATATTTTGTGTGTGCTTGATCGTTACCTCCGCCAAGGAGGTTATGTTTTTGCCGGCGTTTGTCTGTCTGTTTGTTTGTTTGTTTGTTTGTCTGTTAGCAACATAACTCAAAAAGTTATGGACCGATTTTGATGAAATTTTCAGGATTTGTTGGAAATGTGAAAAGGAAGAAGTGATTTCATTTTGGGGGTGATCCTGAAGAAATCCTGGATTCTGGATCACTTTGAAATTTTTGTTAACATTGTGGTAAATGGGGCCAAAAATTTTGTTTCTCAATATCTCGGTTAATTATTGACCAAACCCCATGAAATTTGACTCAGGGATGGACAATGGGATCCTCTTTCATATTCCAAATTGAAAGACACGAGACAAATATTTATGGAAAACACAATTAATATGAGGGGGACTGTAGTCCTTGGCGGAGGTCTGCACTCTCTGAGTGCTTTTCTAGTGTTCTGTGTGTTATTATTATTGTTAAAACTCCCAGGAAGTTGAGTTGTTTGGATGGTGTGTATGTGTAGGGGTGGTACTTACTTCCATGGCGAATGTTGATGTCCAGGTTGCCTTCAATAATTGTGCAGTCTTTGAGGGACTGGGCAGTGTCCACAGAGTCGATAACCGCTGATGGACAATGCTTATCGCATGGGCCGTTACACGCACTGCACAGCGTCCTGCACACACAAACGGACATGGTAAAATTATATAAAATGATATGATTTGGGTTCAGTGCTGAAATCCAGTTGGTTTAAACTTAAAAGGCCTCTCTCTGATCTGAATGGTCACTACCCAAACCTCAGCACCTTCAGCCAATCAGTGCTAGTGCAGCCTCTGCAGCTCAGTGAATACTGGAGGTTCTGAGCTTTCACATGAGACATGGCCTGTCCATATACTGAAAAAAAAACTTGTATGTGTGCAGTGCAAGCTACAAATAGTTAATTTCATGGTGTACTGTGTAACTTTTTGGTGGAGGGTCCGCCACCTGTCCCTTTGGAGATGTAAATGCTTTCCTTGAATGAAAATAAACTTGGTTATCACAGTGGGGACAAGTGAGACAAGTGAGGCATGCCTGCATATAGTATGAATTTTATTTTATTTTTTTTCAGTGTATTTTTCAGCTACAAAACACCTGTAATTGAATACATGCAAGGCAGTTTTGTTTACTGCCATACTGAGAACATTCCATGCAAAGAAATAACATCTCCATGGAGACAAGCAAGCAGCTGGCAATCCACTTTAGAAGTTACATAGTGCACCTTTAAAAATTTAATCATGTGAAGAGTCATGGTCAAAGCAACAGCAGATCATACGTTACACAACCCTATAAGTTTGCTGATATCAAATGAATGTATCTTAACTGATCAGGTTTGAACTGAAAAATTCACATTGACATTCTGCACGCACATATGTCCCACTAACCATCTGCTCCTTATAAAGCCAGCTAAATAGTTCATCTGATGTTTAAAAACGTATTCTAGAGCCAATTTCCCATACTACTTAGACCTCAGTGTACAAATACATGAAGAATGCATGTTTTTTTCAGTGCAGTTTGGGTTGTGCCTGAACTTTCCCTCGGCCCACTCCTCATTCCAGACTGATAAGTTCACTGCACACACAAGGTGCTTGGGTCTTTCCTGGGCCTTTAGTCTGCACTGTTCCCACCTCCGGGACTGCACTGGAGACAGAATACTGAGAGCCTTATAAAATCAGACAGATAAACTACGGACAAGTCGAGTAGAACAAGGCTTTCTGAGGAGAGAAGGTCTGATCAAGTTTAGGTCAAGAATAGGCTTGTCAAAGAACAATCACACATTTTGAAGTGTGATATACTGCTACAAAAACATCACAATATTTTTGAACCTGTGAACATGACAGGTTAGGCTACTCATTTCACTAAAATATAGTTAAATTTGCCTAGTCTTTTATTAAATTTGGTGACATTTATAATTTTACTGATTGGACAGATGTGGCTTATGCAGAGGTAATTCCATAACTTACCAAGCTATAAGATTGTAAACAAGGGCCAAATTTAATCTAATTTATGATTTATAATGAATTTTCATATGCAAAAACTTTTTGATGTTGTAATGTTAGTAGACATGAACAGACTCATAGTAATAAAAGAGACATTTACAAAACAGCTCCTGTGTTTATGGTGAGTCGGGATGATGAGTGAGTTATGGTGAGACAGGATAATGACATGGTTACAACAGTTATCAGAAAGCAGCTTTGTGTTCTGTTAAAGGGTCACATCTAAGAGAGGAGGACCTAGATCAGTGTGAAAGTTTTCTCTGTATCTGGGTGGGTGTCCTTTGGGTTCTCCAGTCTCCCCATCAAAGCAAGCTAATCCTCCAGCTAGGTACTCCCCGCTCAGAAAGTCATGTTATCACAAAATCTGCTCATATTGCGTGTTATAGCCTCTTACCGGTCAGAATCGTTGCGCGTGAAGCCTGATGGGCAGTCAAGCATGCACTCCCCATCATGGATGACAAAGTGGGCGTCCCCAGGCAGGTGGGCGTGGGTACACTGCTCCAGCGTCATGCACCTCCAGCCTTCAAACATGTAGGTGTCTGGGGGGCACTGAGGCACACAGCGGCCCTCGTACTGGTAGTGCAAGCAGGCAGAGCAGGCCCTGTCATTGTGGGGCTCCCAGCAGCTGCCCAGGCACTGGCTGTGACAGCACTCGCCCCGCTGTGACAGCACTCGCCCCGGTCTGTGCAGGCGTGTTTACACTGCTCCGGGCACACTGCAACAAAGAGACACAGACAGGTTAGTCACTGTGAAAAGGATTATGTTCATAGACAGCCTGTGAGTTTATGGAAATACAGAAATCCATATGCATTGCAGGCACACAACTAGTGTCTCTAGTCTCTTTTGTAGCCACAGCTGCCCTGGGGCACATTGAGGGAAGTGAGGCTGTTGCTCCTCCAATCCCAACAAACCAAACACACACACCACATTCAATCAAGGTGGCGAAGTGGCTTGCCTAAGGACACAACAATATGCACTGGTCCAAGTGGAGTTTGAACTTTTGAGCCACATGAGCCAAGGCTGTGGTTGTTATTCCATCATAAATCATTAGGTTTACACCACAGACTGTACAAAAAGTGGACTAAGCGAGTGTGACATCACCCACAGTGTTCAGCGCCGCTCAAATGAAGCTCGCAATACTAGCGGTGAATGCAGAGCCAGACTCTATATTATGAATGGGATTTTTAACAGGCAAAATAGATGGAAAAAAAAACACATGTAGAGTGAGTTAATACGAACATTTTAAGACCCCAAGGATCACTGCAGCAGTTACATAGAGAGGGGAAACAGTATACCAATGTAAATCAATGGGAGCCAGGGTCAGAAGAAGCAGGAAGCGCCCGCATGCGAACCCTATATTTGGAAGGTGGTGGCTAGTGTGTTAACTATGTCCATTTATATATACAGTTGTTGTCTGATTATAATGTGATTTCTGAGTCTACATACAGTTTAAATCAAACCATGATTAGTGAGTGGGGCTAAGGCACTTCAGAGGTGTCAAGTATTGCATTAGCACTCAAATCAGGCATGTCTATACAAAAATGGTCAAAAAGATACAAAGTATTTATTAAAAAAAAAATCTAAACATGAATCAAAACCAAACATTATCTACATCTACACTTTTGTAGTTCACTTTTTATGCAACAGTACCATTACACCTAAACACAGTAAAGCAGTAAACTTGTTCCTCATGAGTTGTGACCAAAACAAAGAAGCCTAGAGCGTGTGAACATACATGAGGAACAGACCTCCAGAGCTCTGTGTGGAAGTACAGGTTTATTCTAAAATCCATCTGCGCTCTTTGTTTGGGGCTGAGTGAGGACAATATGTGTTTACTGTTCAGGGGGTCACAGAGGAGGAGAGTCCACTGAGTCCTGTGCGCTCAGGAGAGGCAGGGCGCCATGGCAACAGCCTCCCGCTCCCTACGACTGGAGAATGATACTAGTTGGTCTGGTTGTGTTATGTTTATTTTTATGGACAGATATGGATTTTAAAAATTAATTTAATTTTAATAAAATAATTATTTGAATTCATGTCCTTAAGATGACCAAATCTGACTTAGTTTATTCTTAAATTTAGTTAGGGGTTTGTTCAAGTTCAACCTTGCTGGTTTAGTCCTTGTTTAGTCCTAGTTTAGATCTGGTTTAGACCTGGTTTGGGTCTCTACGTTAGATCTGGCAATAGACTTGGTTTAATCCTTGTTTAGTCCTAGTTAAAACCTGGTTTAATCCTAGTATAGATCTTCTAGTCAAAGTTTAGGCGTTGTTTATTCTTAGATTTGTCCTGGTTTGGTTTTCAAATCCATTTACACATCCTGTATGAAGGTAGGAGTAGCACTTTAGCCATGTACAAGTACCCTGAGTATGACCTCAGTCAGTGTGAGGTGTTTGGAATCTGACCAAAAGGGGGCAGCCAAAGCAAACTGTACACTCATTTATTTGGATCAAGTTCTCTCTCTCCTCTATATCTCCCCTCTCTCTCTCACTCTCTCGCTCCTGTCTCTCTCTCCTCTTCTTTACTCTCTCCTTCTTTCTCTTTTTCCTGTCTTTCTCTTGCTCCTCTCTCTTCTCTTTTCTTTTTTCTTTTCTCTTCTCTCTCTTCTGCAGCATTTTAACAGATTCCTCAATGAAGAGACATTCCAAACATGTGTTCTTTTGCCAGCAGACAGAGGAGGGAGGGAGAGAGGGAGAAGAGAAGAAAGATAGAGGAGCAAAGACAGGAAAAAAGAGGGAAGAGGAGAGAGGAGGAGAGAGAGCCATATAAGTCTGCTTGTTTTCAGGGGGCGACCATACAACTTCAGTATCAAGCCTCAGATCAGCACTATTTATAGAAGAGCTCAGTCCACAGACTGCCTGTAGTCCAGGTTTAATCCAGGTCTAATCCAGGTCTAGTCCAGATTTAGTGCAGGTCTAGTCCAGGTCTAGTCCTTGTCTACTCGTAGTCTCGTTCAGGTCTAATCCAAGCCTAATCCAAGTCTAATTCAGACTGGGAATGGATTAGACCTGTAATATAATTACTTACAATAAAAGGTTAAACAATAATGGTCACAAATCTAATTAGTGATGTTCTGGACTGGATCATTGTTGTTTTCACTCATAATAATGCACAATCCCCCAAAAAACTGTAAGCAATTTTAGTACTTATGCTGATATCATTGTTAACTGCAATTTTCTGGGTCATGGTCATCATGACACAAAATTTCATCATTGTCCCATGCCCGGCTATCCACCAAATCCTCCACAAATACAAGTCAAACAGCCACATTAGCCTCGATCTTGCATTTGTAGCTCATGCAAAATGCTAGGAACTGATTAGAGTAGAAAATCAGAAAATAATTTTTGAAATAATCTTGAAATTTTGGTCTACTCATATTTTGTTGCAACAACTACAAGTAGGGACCAAAACAAGTATATTGTAATAGAAGTCAACTATATATTTTTTTGGTTTTCTAATTGTAGATTTATTGAGAACTAGGCCTATCATGATAGATACTACATCAGCTTATCGTTCAATACATGACAGATGGAACAATACTACTTTGGGGTCATTATACATTAAGGGAATTTTTCCTTAGCACTAGTGGGGAACTTTTTGTAATTTTTGCTGTTCTACAATAAGATTTAAGGTAAGGCAGGCTGAATGAATAAGTTCTATGACTCATTATAGATACTAATTTATTTATTTATTGCTTTTTTTTTTTTAACAATACTGCACATGTTGAATAGTCTTTTGGGATAGTCCTGTTTTAGGGTTACTGTGTCAGTGTCATAAATTAGCTTCAATATTATCGTCTATATTCTCTTCAGCAATATATCATACTTAAAAATGTGATATTGTGACAGGCCTGTTCAGAACTATTATTTAAGAGGATCACTTTCACTTTCAGGTATCAAAATAATTACATAACAGGGACATGGCATTTATACAGTCTGTTTATACAGATGTGGGATTTCTTCAACCCCCGTTCCCCCCCAGCATCTCAACAACCATGCAAACCAAAACTTGATGCCATTTAACTTCCGCTCTCCCTCACTCTCCCTCTCTTCCTTTCTCTCTCCATCCCTCCATCCCAGTCCTGACACTATGAGAGGAATCCCCAGAATGTTCCGGGGCCACAGACGCCTCAAAGCGGAGAATGTTAATCCTTCGTTCCGCTGCAGATCCACAAAACAACTCGAGGAACCAGCACTGAAACCCGAGAGCACTCTGACATGTTAGCTTTAGCAGCTAACAGATGCTAACAGACGCTAATAAACAGAGACAATGGGATTCTATAATGTTGCACGTGCATTATACAGGATAGAGGTTTAGTCCTCAATCTGCGTTTAGATTTTGTCCTGGTTTGGTCCAGTTGGTTATTCTTATTAAATCTGATAGAGTCTGGCTTTAATCCCGGTTTAGCACAAATTTAGCCCTATTTTACTATTTTACCAGTCTAGTTTTAGTCCAGGTTTAGGCCAGGTTTCCTTATCTCTTTTGTGCTGTACTGCTGAATTTCTGGTTTACTGTTGATTTTAGACCTGCTTTAGTCCTGGTTATCTTGGCTTAGTTCATGTCTAGTCTTTTTTTTTTATTCTGTCTTTGTTTTGAATTGGTTCAGACATGTTTTAGTCCTGGTTTAGTCCAAGTTAACATCTAGTTTACTCCTTACTTAGTTTATTCCTACTTAATATGTCCTAGTTTAGTCTTAGTTCAGCCCTGGTTTAGTTCTGGTTTAGTCCTAGTCAAGTCTCAGTTTAAACCTGGTTTATTCCAAGTTAGTTAGTCCTGGTTTAGTCCTAGTTCTATCCATGTTTAATCTAAGTTAAGATCTAGTTTATGCACGATTTAGTCCATCTCAATGTGTCCTAGTTTAGCACTAGTTTCACTCTTGATTAGTCCAAATTAAGTACTAGTTTACCCCTAGTTCAGTCCTGGTTTAGTTCTGTTTTAGTCCTAGTCAAGTCTTAGTTTAGTCCTGGCTAAGTCCTAGTCAAGTCTTAGTTTAGGCCTGGTTTATTCCAAGTTAGTTAGTCTTGGTTTAGTCCTAGTTCTATCTGTGTTTAATCCAAGATAAGATCTAGTTTATGCACAATTTAATCCAACATAATATGTCCTAGTTTAGCCCTAGTTTCACCCTTGATTAGTCCAAATTAACTACTAGTTTAGTCCTGCTTTAATCCTGGTTAAGTCCATGCACTCATTGTAAACACAGTAGATAGACCCTTAATAGTCCCCCTCTGTGTGTCCTTTTGTGTCTCCTAAGTGAGGCTACACAAGAACAAGATGGCTCCTTTCCCCCTGTCTGCAGAATGGACCCTTATGGCCCTTGAGTGTACATGAGTGAGAGAGTGTGAATGAGGGAAGTACATTTAGATAGAACATAAGTGAATCAAACCAAGTGCTCATGACGCAGAAGGAGCCAGAGTTATGTCCTTCTGTTTACAATGAGCAGAAGTGTGCATTCAAACCACAGCTCAAGATTTGACTTTATAAAAACTATTCTCTACAAAGAAACTGTGGTGTGGAATTTACACATTTTTAGCAATACAAAGCCTGAAAAGAGACAAGAAATATTAATAAGAAAATATTTTTGGATTGGATATTTCTTTTTGTCTTGTATTTTCAAAGTTTGGAAGCTGTCCTAACCACTTGTACTCAGCTATCTGTTTTAACTCAATGACCTACTCTAAAGTTGTGTTTCAACTTTAGAGCAGGCTTTTTGTGTAGAGATGG